TATGGAAATAATCTCTTCAAAAAGTTCACAGTCTGGTAAAAAAGACAAACACACAAACCAATAAAATAATGTGATATATAATATAAAATATACTATTACAAAATATTATAAAATATTTATATTATAAATTATAAAATAATGTTATAAAATAACATGATCAATGCTGCTACAGGGTATGTTCAAGACATTATAGAAATTGAGAAGAGAGAGCACCTAACTACTCCTGCTTAAGATGGTTTTGCAAGGGAAGTAACACCTGAAAAGACAGAGACAGGAAGGGGAAGTATTTGTAAGTAAGCAAACATTCCTTCATTTATTCAGTGACTTCAGCCTCTACCGTGTGTGAAACTAGGGATACAGCAACGAATAAGAGAAAGTGTGCCTGTCTTCACCATGCTTACATTACAGCAGGAGACACAGAGCTGATAACTACCTACATAATCAATTTACTTGCAACCATGATAGGTGCTACAAAAAGGTACAAGGAGCTAACAGGTCCTAAGAGAACCTGAAGGGAACTGACAATGGTAGAAAGGTGGTCAGGGATGCCTCTCTGAAAAAATTGTGTTTAAAATGAAACCTGAAGGGTCAGTAAGAATTCAGCAGGGGAAAGAGAAGTAGCAGAGGCTTCCCAAGAGAAGTGGCCACAGAAGAAGCAGCGTTAGTGTGAAGAATGGAAAGGACAGGAGCAGAAGTCCAGGTAAGAGACTTCGAAGGTTCGGACTAAGGTGGGTGTACAAAAACAAAGAGAAGTAGATAGATAACTGATTGCACATAGGAGAAGGTAAGAAAGTGAGAACTTTCAACGATAATGCCAGATTTTCAGCTTAGGCAACTAGGTGGATGGCTGTACCATTCACTGACCGAGGCTAGTGGGAAGACTGTGAGTTCAGTTTTGGACATGCTAAGTTCGAGATGTCTGTGAATTATTCTAGCTGTGAAGATAAGAAAACAAGTGGGCTCCCCTGGTAATAGCTGGATTAAAGCCCCATTACTATGGTTTCATTGTGGGACAAGAAATTAAACTTGGATGAAAATGAGATGAATGAAATGAGATGAAAATGAGGTCTTATTTCATTCTAACGTCAATAACAGGAGGAGATCCTCTGGTGATCCTCTTCCCCTGCTCCTCCACCCTGCTCATGCCCTCCTTCTTTCTCACTCTCTCAAATAAATAAAATCCTTAAAAAAAAAAGTATATATAGCTCTCTTTCCTTTGAATCTTACAAGATGGGCATCTGAATGGCTTTTTTTTGGTCAACCCTTTACACTTTACTCAACATTCCACCCTACCCTTGTGATCAAAGTAAACAGTAAATTATAAACTTAGAGCTTTATAGATTATAAAAAGCTTTTTAACAGTTATGAGTCTTTTAGTTACTTAAAATATCATATATCAGATGTTTCATTTAGAATTGACTAACAAAACAGAATCTTTATATTTCATATAAGTTGCTTAAAAAGGTATTGATCATATTTTCTTCCTAACAATCCCTAGGTTCACTACATTCTTAAGGATAAAATCTACTGACCAGAACATTAAAAATAGTCATGAATGCCAATATGCAGATTATCTCAAAGAGATCTGAAATGGGGTAGGGGGAGGCAGGGGAATTTCAGTTCCACTTGCAATTCTCTGCTTCAGAGAAAAAGAACTGATCTGAAGCAAATTTGTTAATGTTGAAATGTGTTAGTTCTAGGTATAGGATTGTTGTATTGTTTTGTTTTACGATACTTCCCCCTCCCCTTTTTTTTTTCATGAAAATCTCTCAATCAGTAATCAAAAGAGATATAAAGAAGCAATTAATTCAAAACAATTTCACCTGTCATTTACATTTATTTTCTATTATATTTGCATGACACTCATGGAATTTTTTTTTTTTTTAATTTAACAAAGTTCACTGCTTTGGAGGATTTAATTTCTGTATGAAATTAATGACCCTTTTTCAAAGCACCACTGTTGCTTGTTAAAGAAATGACTGAGGGGCGCCTGGGTGGCTCAGTGGTTTAAAGCCTCTGCCTTCGGCTCCGGTCATGAACCCAGGGTCCTGGGATCGAGCCCCACATCTGGCTCTCTGCTCAGTGGGAAGCCTGCTTCTCTTCCTCTCTCTCTGCCTGCCTTTCTGCCTACTTGTGATCTCTGTCTGTTAAATAAATTAAAAAAAAAAAAGAAAAAAGAAATGACTGATATTATAGAAGGTGATGACTCGTTGGAGTAGGATTTTGCTAAAGGCAAGAAGAAAGCTTTATACCTTTAGGTGGGAATAAATTATAGCTTCATACAAGTGTACTTGCTAAAAAATCAGAGGAAATTAAGGGCAGTAAATCTATGACCCAAATGCAGACTAGTTTAATGGGATGTTTTTCAGAGATTTTCATGGAATGTCAGCAAATTCTTTTGGATCTGCAGCAATAACCAAAATGCTATGTGATGCTTAACTGTCAAAACACAAGCCTATGTGTTTATTCTTCATAGGAGACTCCGGCTGCCTACATAAAATAATCCCAGAGGCAAGAAGAAAGAAAATAACAAAAACAGATTAAGGAAGCTGGTAACTGCTTTAAAGATGAATGCTTTACAGACCAAGGCTAAAACTATAATGGATGTCTCACTACTAATGCATTCAAATGATTAACAGAAAGGAAACACCCCAAGTGTGGCATTTTGTTCCAAACGACTATGGAATTGTACTGTAGTAAAAACCATTCTAATTTGTCACAGATGAATTTATACTTTGAAATAACTTCTAATTTAAGAAGTCGAGTGTTGTAATCTATTTACATTCTTATCTAGATTTCCATTGCTTCATTCACTCTTTTTAAAAAATATTTTTCTATTAATTTGCTGGCATAGCAGCTGATAAATTATTTTTCGTCATTGCTGTTTGTTGACTATTTTAGTCAGAAGCTTCCCTGTGCTCCTCCAAGTGTCATAAATATGACAAACAGTTGTGTTCCACTTAATATTTATGGTATAGTCTTCACCAAAGATGAGGCTAGGCCCCACAGTATTAACTTCCAGCAAAATGGCATCTCTGATTAAAGACATAACTACACTATGTTCTGTGAAGAATCAAAGTCAGAGTGCATTCGTACTTATTAGAAAAAGTACCACGCTACTTCCTCTTTGTAGCAAACTCAGGACTGGAATGAATTTACTGTGATACAGAAATACCACAAAAGGTCCAATGTGACCCATGTCATTTTGGTATAGGTCAAAACTAAGTTACATCATTTTTCTTTGAGGGAGGCACCATGTAGATGCGGAAAAGTGAGCTACAGAGTAAAAATTATCTGGATCTAACCTGAGACTCCCTGTATAATTCTGGGTTAGTAATCTCTGTAAAATATGAGAAAGAACTCTTACAGGGGACATGTCAGCATGTATGTGAAGTAACAGACATGAGATACCTAGCAGGTATCTACTATCTATTAATTTCTTTCCCTTACAGTATTATATCATAATGGCATCTTTTAGCTCTACCTTTAAAATACTAAAAAAGAACTATACCTACCAGTGTCTCAGTCCACTTTTAATTATTTCTGTGACTGGTATGCCTGATCTCTGATTTGCTCACTTTGGAGCACCCTGATTTTTATAATCACAGAATTCCATTCATGGAATCCCAAAATATTGCCCAGGCGTCTAAGTGGGACCCTTCTTAAATAATCTGAAAACTATGACTATTTCTAAGGCTCTCTAAAGGGACTTATAACCACCAATGGTAACTCACTGCATTAATTAAAATTCCTTATAAATAAATTCCTACTAATGTCTAAAAAATTCCTACGAATGTCTAAATGATGAATTCAATTTCCTTTTCCTCCTTACTTTGTGAATATGACACATTAAAGGCCCAGCATACAACATTCCTTGAAATAAGAAAACTGTAACTGTGTTCCTTCTATCTGGCAACTCTCCAGGCAAACAAACAAATATAACCATTTATCAAATCATCTATGTATGAATTAATACGAACCAACAAACACAGCTTAATAGTAGGAAAAGAAAATGGGCTTTGAGGAATACATGCACCCAGATGTTCACAGCAGCACTATCTATAACAGCCAGATGATGGAAACAGCCCACGTGTTCATCAACTGACGAATGGATAAGGAAGTTTTTGTTGTTGTTGTTGTTGTTGTTTTGGATAAGGAAGTTTTATATATACACATAATGGAATACTACTCAGCCATAAGAAAGAATTGAGATCTTCCCATTTGCAATAACATGGATGGAGCTAGAGAGCATTATGCTAAGTGAAATAAGTCAGTCACAGAAAGACAAAAACCATATAATTTTACCCATTTGTGGAATTAAGAAACAAAATAAACATGCATGGGGAAAAAAAAGAGAGAGAAACCAAGAAACAGACTCTTAACTATAGAAAGCCAACTGATGGTTACCAGAGGGGAGGTGGGTGAAATAGGTGAGGGGGATTAAGGAGTGCAATGCACTTGTCATGAGCACTGGGTGATGTATTTAAGTACTGAATCACTGTATTGTACACTTGAAACCAATATTACACTGTATGTTAACTAACTGGAATTTAAATAAAAACTTTAAAAAAAGAAAATGGGTTTTGAGATTCCATTATACACTTATCTGCCCTGGGGACTGTGGGAAAAGTGACTTAAGTTCTATGAGCTTCATTTTCCACATCTATAAAACGAGGACAATATTACTGATCTTAAAGAATTGTTTATTTAAAACATTAAATGAAATAAGGTAAACACTGTCATTCTTTTTTTTTTTTAAGATTTTATTTATTTATTTGACAGAGAGCAATCACAAGTAGGCAGAGAGACAGGCAGAAAGAGGGGGAGGAAGCAGGCTCTCTGCCGAGCAGAGAGGCCGATGTGGGCCTTGATCCCAGGACCCTGAGATCATGACCTGAGCCAAAGGCAGAGGCTTAACCCACTGAGCCACCCAGGTGCCCAACACTGTCATTCTTAACAAAATAAAAAGAAGGTTAAAGATTAAAAAAAAAAATACATACCATGTTCACTGCATCTTGATCAAAAGGGTTCCATTCTATATTCTCAGGATAGTGGGCCAGCACTTTGGATTTGAATGTTCTTCTCAAAGGACTCTGGTCAAAATTTTCACCTAAAACAAATAATTAATTAGTTGATACCTAGAATTTTTTCAAAAGCATGTAGTAGTTTTATTTTTATTTTGTAGATATACTGACTGATAATGTTGAAATTGGATTCAATTTCTACCTCTAACAGTCTGAGTTGTAAAAATTCTCAGTGGACAACTGAAAAGGAACTGTTAATAAAAGATCTGCATTTAAAACTTCAGAATCTGAATTTCAACATCTTGGCCAGACAACTATACTAAAAATAAAGATCTATTCAAATAATCTTTGTTGTAACCTAATTATTGTCCTCATTTCAGTATGTGGGGATAAAAAAAACCTACTTGGAAACATCTAATTTATTAACAGAAAATCCTGAATTGAGCACCTTGAATCATACTTCTGATCCTGAAATTCTGTACCTGGACAGACACAATGCTGCTGTGCTCACATGAGGCAATTCTGCTTGAGCTTCCACAGAAATCTAACAAATGTAACTCTATCCAGGCTTTTACAAGTAACAGAATTCACAGAATCAGAAACATCATTACTGAGTTGTCTAGTTTAGTAGAAAACACCAAACCTATGAAAAGAAACAAGCTATTCTAAGCCAAATTTCTCACCTGTCAAAATTTGGGAAAGACAAAGGCAGACTATACTTTGATTATTACATATAAAGAAACCTCAATTATAGCTGTCAGCTCAGTTCTTTATCACCTTCACCAAATTAATTCCCATAAAACCTGTTTCCCCCAAATGCTTTAGTTCCATAAAATATGTTAAAATGGATGGCTCTTAAATTCTCAATGCCAAAAAGTTGAGAATGAAGAATTAGAAGATGTTGGAATATCATTCTGTCTCGTGTTTTTTTTCTATTTAAGTTCTAATTAAGTGTAAAACACAAACTATTAATATCAAGAGATAAACGCTACTTACCACTATTTGTTAGAAGTAAAAATACCAAGTAATTTATAAATCATAATTGGGCATTTAGTTAGACTCAGTTTCCATTTTTGGTAAAAATATGAAAATATGGATATAAAACACCTTTTAGTGCGAAACTTAACAGATCACAAAAGGAGGGAAAACTTACACTCTAAAATCTTGTTGGAAACTGCAATATAAAATACACAGAAGCTTTCCTGAATAAAGGCACATAGTTTAAATAGATTTGCTGCAGCAACTAATGTACTGTTTCTAATTTAAGCCCTGGCTAATGATCATTTTCCTTTGGATATTTCTTACTTACCTAGGCAAATGTTTCATCTGTATCTTTCTACTCCCTATTTCTATCTTCTAAGAGATAGACAGAGAGCTTTCACTTCTAGAAGAAAAACTGTCAAAAGCATCCCTGAGGATAGTTTATGAGTTTTGACAATATGCCTCTTGAGTAAGCTTACAAAGTCAATGGAAAAATGTGGAACTGTCCATGAGTCAGTGTGCCTGAAGAAAGAGTCAGGGTTCAGAATGCCCGACTTCAGGAAGGGCAAATAACATTTTTTAAGCTGACACTAGATTCTCAGGGAAACACTAAGAATTTTTAGATTATTCATTTCTTCATTAAAAAAAAAGAAAGAAAGAAAAGAAAAAGACTAGAGGCACCTGGGTGGCTCAGTTGGTTAAGCGTCTGCCTTCAGCTCAGGTCATGATCTCAGGGTCCTGGGATCGAGCCCTACCTATGTTGGGCTCCCTGCTCAACAGTGAGTCAGCTATTCCCTCTCCCTCAGTGATCTCTCCTGCTCTCACTCTCTCTCAAATGGATAAATAAAATCTTTAAAAAAAAAAAAAAAGACCACTTTTCACTTCACTTTAAGTCGCAGAAAACACAAAACTTGGTTCTAAAGGTCTATGCTGCTGACTCTGCTCCTGACACAGGAACAGGACATCCTCAGACAATATACAGCAAACAATAATGCCTCTCCACCCAACAACATATACCAGAAATGTTTATTTTTATCTAAGTATAAATAAAATGTGAAATACTATCATGGCAGAAGAAACAGCACATAACGCAAGATATAACTCCTTGCAACACTTACCTTTTTTAAATGACTTCCTGCCTGAGTTTGGTTAAAATAGTAACATTATCTTCATTCATATATCAAGTTATTTATGGGACAGAGGATAAATCAGAAAAGCCATGACAGTACCATTTTCAATATAACATTCTGTTAACTAAAGAACATCACACCCTCCTGAAGCACAATGGAATCACCCAGAAGACAGAGAAGGAAAACCACCCTTTTCAAAGAGAGAAAATTTTTTTATAAAAACAAGAAAACGGAAAGACTCATGAAACAGAAACACGAATCTAAGAAAAACAGAACCACCACCACTGCTGCCAACATACCACCTACTAGACTGCCAAGAAAGGGGGGCAAGAGGAAAGGTCATTGCTGTATATATAGCTGTCTTGGCAAATACTATTTTGATGTAAATTCATGGAAGAACCAATTATGTAGAAATTCTGATAACACTGTTAAGGATTTAGACATGAGTGGATATAGTTATCACTACTATTACCAAAGAAGAGAATTCTGATGATGCCTTTTGGAGATGAGAGGTGAGGGGAAAAACCTAGTCTTCTCCTTTTTGAACCCATGTTATAAATGAACTTCTAATTTAGAATTTACTGCTAGGACTTAGCAGGAGAAATGAAATCAGTCTAAGAATTTGGGTTCCCAGGAAACTGAAATGATACATAAGCATTCTTTACTCAACTTAAAATCTACCTCTTTAAACACTATCCTGAAATGAACAAAGATTATAAACTTGGGCAAATATTAATATCCCCCACAACAAATACATATAAACTTAATTCCAGGTAATACTGCCAAATAACCTGTTACTATATTTAAGCTGCAATTCAGTCTTTCCTTCAAAGAAAATAGGATATATCTGCCAAGACAGCTTAAGACTAGTGAATAATTTTTTCAAGGCTTGAAGCAAATGAGGTCTTTACAAAAATTAAGATGCAGATGAGAGAAAAGAAATATAAAATAATAACTATTTTTGCCCAAACAAAACTGAGGGGAAAAAAGCAATTATGATGGGCTTGGGGTGATTTAAAATAATGATTTCTACACCTCAATTTTTATTTTATTTTTACCTGAAGTTGTATTTGCAGCATCTTGGCTCTTGCCATGACGATCTGCTTCTAGCCATTGGTACAAAACTACATAATGTAACAGAAACAAAAAACTTTATAAACAATGAAACACAAACACAAAAGCAAAATGACTTTGAAGAATGGAAAATGAGAATAACAAATTAAACAAAAGTAATAAACATGAGACATTAACATCAATGGAATGTAGCTTAACACCAACAGTATGCAGTTTATAAGCTATTAGTAATAAGAAGGCATAAAGAATAGGTAATTGTATTTTAATGTAAGAAGTGAAATACTACTTAAACATCTGTACCAGTTATTCATATGGGAAAAAAGCACATATATTCTTCTCAATGATGATTTGAAGAGAAGTATCAGGAGAAAGCTAATGTTTCCATAGTCAAGTAAGATAGTAAGACAAAATGACCAATTTTAAAAATTACATCCCAACTTCTACACACCTATCAGAATGGCTTTAGTCCAAAAAAATGGACTACACCAAATGCTGACAAGTACATGAGGTGACAGTAACTCTCATTCATTCATTCATTCATTCATTCAACACAAGGAATCCAAATTGGTACAGCCACTTTGAAAGACAGCTTGGCAGTTTCTTACAAAGCTAAGCTCAGTCTTACCACAGGATCCCATAACTCTACTCTAATCTGGGGGAAAACATCAGACAAATCCCAAGAGAAGCAACCTACAATATACCTGGTGAATACCTGCCAAACTATCACGGACATCAAAAAGAAGGGAAGTCTGAAAGGCAGTCACAGCCAAGAGGGGCCTAAAGAGATATCCATCGGAATATAATGTGGTATACTGGATGAGAGCCACCAACAGAAAAAAGGACTTCAAGTAAACACTTAGGAAATCTGAATAGGATATATATGACTTTAGTTAACAATTATGTATCAACTGATTTGTTAACTCTAACAAATACACTATGGTAAGATGTTAATGATAGGAAAAACTGTGTTTGTGTGGATGGGGGGGGTATGAGGTATACGGGAACGCTATTATCTTCTCAATTTTTCTAAAACCTGAAACTCCTCTAAAAATCAATTCTGTTTTAAAAAACATTCCAGGGCACCTGAGTGGCTCAGTGGGTTAAGCCTCTGCCTTCAGCTTGGGTCATGGTCTCAGGGTCCTGGGATCGAGGCCCGCATCGGGCTCTCTGCTCAGCAGGGAGCCTGCTTCCCCCACCGTCCCCTGCCTGCCTCTCTCCCTACTTGTGATCTCTCTCTCTCACTGTCAAATAAATAAATAAAATCTTTTTAATAAATAAATAAATAAATAAATAAAAAGTGTTCCAATATGTAAGATAAGGACAAAATCCTATTATATCCAATCTTGTAAGTAATCTACCTTTTAGAAATCATTGTATACAAACACAAACTGAAATAGGCTCTGTACTGAGATTCCATTTAATCAACTTAATACCTTCATGTGTTATTAACTAGGAAGTATAAACTCTTGGAGGGAAGTTTATCACAGTAAGGACATAAGGAAATTCACACTAGTTCTCTACAACACTGCAGTTTTGAAGAGTATAAAAACTTCCAAATAGGTTACCCAACTGTCTACAACTTTTAGACATCCAATCTTCTCTTAAAAGAGCTAAATAATGATGATGTAGGGTTCTAATAGCCAGGGAATCTTCCTATCTATACCTCAAAGGTCTGAATGATCTCAGGACAAAGGCTAAACTTCTACTCTGGGGGGATATGTGCCCACAGATATTCTAAGAGTTCTATATCCCAATCAGGGTTTGCAGAATCTATGTATACTCTCTCTTCACAAAACAACAACAAAGACAAAGAACTGGGGAAGTTAGCCTATGGAACTCCTGGATTGAAAGGAAAAAAGGAACTAAATGATCCACTATAAAAGGCCAAAGACACCCTGAAATCACCAAGGAGGTTATTTGGATCTTTCCAGACAGCCAGATGGTATACTGACATTTACCATCAGGTATAGATGGCCCAAAACAGACCTTGGAATAGCCCCCACACATACACCCAAGCAGTGTGCAAGGTCACTGCCTGAGAGTGCCCCAGTGGGCACTCAAGTCACTATACTTCCCTCTAGGATACTGAACACTTTCTGGATGCAAAAAATTGTTATGACTGGGACTAGTAAGGAAGAATTTGAGAAGCAGACCTCACTCATTCAATATATACTATACATATTTTTTACCTTTCTAGTTTACAGGAATAACTACTCATTAGAGTACAAAAGTAGCAGAGTGGGGAAGTATTAGGCCATGACACAAAAATCTCCCCATCTGGAAAAAAGCAAGTATCAACTTTACAACTGACAATGAATATCACTCTCACAAAAACGAGATATAAAGTAGGGAAACTAATCCATTATCTGGTCTAACAATCCTATCTAGCTCTCATCTAAAGGTATTTTGCCCTGATTAAGGTAGAAACTCCTGGATGCATTTAGGGTATCACTAGGAATAGTTACCAATAGTTCAATTACTTCACATAGCTCCCGTTTCTTGTTTTACCAGAGAAAAAGAAAATAAAGGAAAAAATATGAAATAAAATATGAAAGCTAGTTCAGGTCAACTTACTTACTTTTACAAGCAAAAATCTTTTTAGTAGATTTAGATATTCAATTATTTTATCCTTGTCTCCAGATTACCAAAGTCCAATAAATGATATCTAAATATTTCAGAGAATCTCCAGTGAAATAAGTGCATCTGCTTCATGTAAAGTTATAATGTGAATCACCGTTTGGTCAAATTTGGATTTCAAAGCCCACTTTATAGCACATATATTTAAAAACATAATGTATAACTAAAAAAGAAATGTGACAGATATTTTTACCTAATATACTAGGTAGTTCTAGAAGGACTGAGCTCCAAAAATTTAACTCCCATATATCTAATATATGTTATAATACAGAGTCTGCTACTATGTTTGTAGAGGATGTTAGAATACCAAGAACACACCAGTTCTCACCGTGGCTGGGAGCTTAAGATCTGGCTTTTTGGTGACTCCATGCTTCCTCTCAGTTGGCACTGGGAGTTGGTACCCTCAAACTCCAAGCCACTGGTGAGAATTTCAATAGCCTGTGAGTGGGGTTCCAAATGGAGAAAGATTTGTGAGATGTGTGAACCTTGCAGCTATTTCTCAGCCTGAGTGGTCCCATTACCCCCTTTCTCTAAACCTGCTTGCTCCTAGGGATCCAATGAGTTCCCTCCCTCGTTATCCATTTCCTTTGTGGCCTGTGTCTGACCTGGGTATTTTCTCCAGAAAACAAGGGCAGGGCTCACAACACTTCCCCATCTTCCTGTCCCGGAAGGATACCACAGAAGTCTAGATTTTTTTTTTTTTTTTAAGATTTTATTTATTTATTTGTCAGAGAGAGAGAGGGAGAGAGCGCGAGCACAGGCAGACAGAATGGCAGGCAGAGGCAGAGGGAGAAGCAGGCTCCCTGACAAGCAAGGAGCCGGTTGTGGGACTCCATCCCAGGACGCCGGGATCATGACCTGAGCGGAAGGCAGCTGCTTAACCAACTGAGCCACCCAGGCGTTCCATTAGTCTAGATGTTTTAAAGAAAGCTTGGTGATAGGAATAATGAAAACAGATGGGAAGTTAAAAGGTAATCTCTTTTGTCCTGTCCTTTTTAAATTTTGTTCCTTTTCTCTTTAAAGGGGAAGTTTACGCGCGCGCACACACACGTGCGCGCACAGAGATAATGGTGGACAGAAAACTTAGAATCAATAAATTTTTCTCAGTATTCTGATAAAGGCTAGAGGAGGAAATGAAGAACTATAAATGCTCCCTATGAAATCCATGCTGAGGCGAAGAAGAAGGGAGGATGTGGTGGTCAGGTAATTTTTCTCCCTCCTATGTCTATCACTATAGGTCCCCAACTGTCTGTCTCCAAAGACCCTTGTCTGAATTGACATGAGCTAGAGTCGTAGAAGGAATACTGACAACAGTGGATCCTGTAAGAGAGACTGACTAGGGAAAGGGAACCTGGGGCAGGGGGACCCCACACGTTGGTTAAAAAAAAAAATGAAGGTGTACTTCCTGTGACACTCACAGAAATACATTTCCTACACATGAGTTGTCTCTACATCACAGTGAGCTGTCCTCTTCAAAACAGATCCCTCAGAAGGCTGCATATTCATGATTCATTCTAATGATTCTACCACGATTTAAATAATCTCTGAGCAGGTTACATTTAAGGTGAGACCTGATGAAGTTAACAATAATCCTCACAAATAACACATGGTGCTTACGATACAGCAGGTGCTATTCTAAGTATTCTACATATATTAAATCATTTCATCATCACAATTACTCTATAAAGTAGTTACTATTTTATCATTTTCCAAATGTAGAAACTGAGGCATAAAAAGGTTAAATAGCTTGCCCAAGGTCAGACGACTCTAAAATTCAAACTTAAACAGTTTGGCTCCAGAGTATGCTCTCAATTCTACGTAAGAGGTCACCTCAGAAAAGGGTATTTGGGGATCGGAAACAGCAAGTGCAGAATCCCTGAGGCATCCATGAACTTGTCACCACAGAGAAGCAGCAAGGAGGCCAGTACAGTGTATTTAAGTGAGGTGGTAGAAAATGAAGTCCCAGAGGTCACCATGGCCACATAAGACAGAGCCTTGTAGACCATGGTAAGCTCTTTCTTCAAGGGAAGTAACTGAAGTGTTTTAAACACTTGAACAAGCTTGAACAAGCTTACTCTGGCAGCTGAGAGAACAGACTGTAGAGGGTAAGAGAGGAAATGGAGAGACCAGTTACGAGGTTTCTGTAATAATCTATGCAAGAGATGATCATGGTATGGATCAGGGAAACAGTGTCAGGGTAGTGAGAAGTGGTTAAGATTCTAAACATATTTTGAAGACATAAGAGGTATTTGCTAACAAATTAGATGTGAGAGAAAGGAGTAGTCAAGAAGAAATCATGGTACTACAGTTTCTAGTCTGAGAACCTGGATGCGTAGTGTAGTTAGTTACTGAAATGAGTAACAAGGCACAAGGAGAGGGTTTTTGCTGGAGGGTTGGGAAGCTGAAATAAAAA